CCCCAAAACCCCAAAACCCCAAAACCCCAAAACCCCTTATTCAATTTAAAAAATTGCTTAATAAATATTATTTAAACTCCAATGTCATCATTAATAAAGGAGGCTGAGAACTTGCGCAAAGGGCTTGTCTCAGACATGGACAGATCAATGTACAATGACGAAAAGGACCTCTTCATCAATAGTCATGACCCTGATCACCAACATAACGAGAGTGAGCCAGAAGCATGCTTAGAGCTCAAAACTAGGAATAAAAGAAAATAGGTCTGCATCCAGTTCTCGAAGATATCGTAAAGCATCCAAGAAGAACAAGTTTAAAATCAAGGATATAGATACTGACTTCCAGCTCAATAGGAATGACCTGTTTAATAATAATCCTAGCTCAAATGGTGCTGTCAACCAAACTCTCCAGATCTTCGCATCTTCAGGTATTGGCTCCCCTGCTGCAGGGAGTATGCACCCAGGAAGTTTCAAAATTGGCAGAAGTACTAAGAATAACCTCGCTACAGGAACTAAAAGACCTGTATCTGCAGTGATGTCTCACATGAATTCACCTAATTCCTCAATGGATTTACCCATGTTTGACCTCAACAGGATGAGACCTAGAATAATTAAGAAAGATAAATAAAAGTCTATACGACAATGTCATGAAACTCAAACTAGCTCATAACTCTAAAATGAGTGAAAATACTAAGCTAAAGACCAACATTTATAAACTTGAAGCAGAGAATAGCCGGAAGGATAAAATCCTTGAAGAAATTCTCCAGACAAGTTCTGGAGCTACCCAGGTCGGTAGAATCAAGGCAGAGAGTCACCTCAATAGCGGGATGAAGAGACATATAAAGGAATTAAAACAAGAGCTAGAGGTCAAGGAGTTAGAAATTAAGCGGCTGAAGAAGAATATTCGGCTTACTCAATTTCAGGAACTTGAAACTGAAATACAGACATATATTAAAGAGTGTGAAAGACTCAGAAGACTTGCCAAAGGAGTTATCTCTTCCAAAGATCCCTTATTTGACAATCAAACAAGACATGAGCTAGAGCAAAGATTTCATGAACAAACTATGATTATGGAACGGCTAAGAGGAGAAAACAGAAATCTAGAGCAACTCCTTCATGAGAAAGAAATGGAAATTATTCATCTCAAAGATCTTTCTCCAGATCACAGAGAAAGGTCAAAGAGTAATAAATAGAGACCGCTCAGTTAAAGAGAAGAGGAAGTATGAACGCCAAATAAAAAGCAAGAATCAAGAAATCAATAAGTTAAAGTAGCGAGATATTATCCCTCAAGAAGAACCTTAATAACTACAAAACTACCTGAATGACACCAGAGCAACTCAAGTCTGAACGCGAGAAAGATCGGCTAAAAATGAGCGATGTCTTAAGGCAAAGGACTGCTTTGGAATCTGAGCTCAATAAGCTCAAAGCAGATAAGTTCAGTCAAAATAGACAGGCAAATACAACTAGGAATGAGATTGAGGAACTCCAACAGCAACTGAAAGAACAGAAAGATAAGAACGAGAGCCAACAGAAGGAAATAGAAAGGTTCAAAACCTTATATATCAACGAAAAATCACTCACTGGTCATCATTTTGACTCTAAAGAGGGGATTGTAACTGATGCAGCACAAGCAGTAAAGCCATTTGATAATTCAATGCAGTCCCAAGAGGTCCCTCAAAATGATGGTGCTAACACCACAATACAGAAGCCTGAAGAAGCAAAGGAAGAGAATATTCTAAAAAGTAATAAAAAGGCTCCAATACAAGGAATTATTCCTGTTGCAGTAGGTGGACCAAAGTCTAGTCCAAAACTTGAAGAATCAAAATAAGACTCGAGAACCTTTCCAACGGGCGAAGAGCCCAGACCCAGTAGAAGAGCCAAGCAAGGAGAACTCAGTGAGGCTACTTCAAGAAGAGGAGTCTAAGATGACTCCTAAAGCAAACAATAAAATTTTGGAAACTCCAGTACAAAGACGAAGAAAGAACTCCGATAGTAGTACTAATGAATTTAAAGAAGAAAATGCAAAGAAGGATGAAAGCACAGATAGTGATATCAACAACCTCGCCTCTAATTATGTACGGAACACTATAAAGCAGCATGGTGAACGAAGTACTGAAGAGAGGAAGATCTCCCCAAAGAAGAAGGACAGATCGAGCCATCAACCTGAAATTGATATCCAAATTGAGTCTGTCTCGAAAAAGGAAGATCAAGCTGATCCTACGGAAGACGATGAGATCGCTGACGAAGAAATGCAGAACAGAAAACATAGACTCAGCTCTAATGTTGATGGTACCAAAATGGATGAAACAAATATGAACGAGCTCACTGATAATAGAAGTGATTCTAGTGAGGATGTAGAACTGGAAGACCCCCGTTCATCTAACCTTAATGTCTTTAAAAGTAGAGTTAGCATTGTAGATATCCCACAATTTGTGAAGATAGAATTCAAGCTTATTCTTCAAAATAAGAAAATACCTTATGAAAAGATTAAGAAATTATTCCCTCCAACCAAAAGGATTAGTCTTCAGCAACTAAAGGACCATTTGCTGCAATTAGGCAGGTTCGAAGAACCCGTCATCATCGAGCAAATATGTAGATATCTAGTAGAAAATGATGCTAATGGAGACATGATTGCTTATAACAATGAAGCAGACATGGACAAAATAGCCATTGGTAGGCCTCATTGATAATCTCTAGTTTCTAAGTTTAAGAACAAAGTAGTTACTGAAGACTACACTATTTTTGATGAAGATACTCCTATTAAGAAAGCTCAAATTGAAGAAATCAAGGAAGAAATTTTAAAACTGCTCTCCTCAGATATGGAGGCCTTTAAGTCTGCCTTGGATATTGAAGATGTAAAAGAAAATGGATGTCTAAGTTATGAACAGTTTAGAGGAGTCTTACGAAACATGGATACCAAATTTAAGAAGATCCATCTCGAATATATGGTCTATGAGATGTACAAAGTGAGTCAAAATTCTCGGAAACTCAACTACAAACATCTTCTAGACCTCTTATGAGGCAATAAAGAGGAATCTATGAACCGATATGGAGACCTAGAGGATGACTCTTACTTCTCCCACTCGGTGACTAAATCTGCTGTACAAAAGAGAAACCTAAAATCTGATGAAGAGGCTAAAAATGTGAACGAAAACACCGATACTCAAATCAACGAAGATAACGAAACTGAAAATAATAACCAAGAGCAAGAAGAGAGCGGAATGAACAATGCTGACCTTGCAGAAGGAGAAGAGTACATTAATGATGAAGAAATGATCAGAATTTCAGAATCTTGCCTTATAAGAATCTCCAATGAGCTCAAAATCCAGAACATATCCATTCATGAGCTATTCAAAGATGATATTATAGTCCAAGAGTATGAAAACCAGGAGATTGAATTACTTACTCCAGAGGGTTTTATAGAAGGCATCCATCAGCTTGGAATCGAGGATTTCACAGAACTTGACGTTGCTTGTCTTATCAACCTCCTTTCAAGACCAGAACTAGAAGATCTCATTCTAATAGAGGAACTTGAAATCCTAAAAGACACTGATAAACTTAAAAGTTTAATTGATGAAATGCTTGAGAAAAATGCTTTCTCTCAAGACCAAACCTCTGAAGGTAGAGAGGAGCAACAGGAGAATCCTCCAAATGGTAAGGCTCAGAAATAAGAATTTCAACCTTGATTCAGCAGGAGATAGAAGTATTTGTGTTATATACCTTCTCATTGATTTTCTTATCAGAAATGATTTGAGCACATATACTTACTTCGGCAATAAAATATATCAACAATTGGTGAAATCTAAATCAAAGGAATCAACTGTTGAGCTTATTGCTGCTAAAGATTTCTTTGATGTTTTACAACAAGAAGTAGTGACAGAAGAGTTCCTTGAAACTATCGATGACTCAAAGCCACTTCTAAAAGAAGGTGATGCTTACCAGACTGTCAAAGAAGACCTGATGGATATTCTCTCAATTGATGCAAACTACAAGGATCTTATTTTTATGAAAAAGCTGACTAAATTCATCGAAGAGGTATCTCAGAACGATAATCTCAAAGAGCGAGCTCTAAACTACATCTCAAACACTGAAGAATCCGCTGAAGAAACCTCTTTGCGTAGTGCTTTGAATCAATTTCAAGCTCCCTTAGCTGACAACAGGCGGAACCTTGAAAACGGGGGTTTGAACCCAGCTGCTGAACGGCTGAACACCATCGAAGAGGAAGAGAAACAATACGAAACAGTGAGTCATATAAACAAGACTCAGGATCGGAACACTGGTTTGAACACTAGTAATTTCAAGCCTTCCTCGCCTAGCACTCAGAACTACCAGAACTCTTACTCAAGAGAGGGGATTGAAGACTTTGGCTAGGCGAAAGCTCTACCTTGACCCATCAAATTTCGGGTCTTTCGAAAATGTAATTTTTTCAGTAAATTTATAATTAAAAGGGGTTTTGGGGTTTTGGGGTTTTGGGGTTTTGGGG